CCTCATACCAAATGCCTAAAAATGGAAAAGAGGGAAAATAAACCTGCAAGATCCCTCAGCTCCTCCTTTGAAGAACCTGGGCTTAGCCCCAGCTGTGCAAATCAGACTTTTTTTGCAAATTATGAGCAGGGGAAGGGAGATGGAGATGGTGGTTGAGTCAAGCAACAAACCTCAGAATAGAAATGTAGGGCAGGATTGCTGTCTGCAGGAAACTCAGCTTCCCATGGGACATGGTGTGACATGGTTAACTTGCCAGTAAAGGAAAGCCTTGAACAGAGTTACCTGTACCAATGAACAGAAAGAAAAACTTCAGACTAAATGCAGAGCTGGAAGGAAGGTTTGGTGGTTTTAGCTGTGTGTTATATGTTCACCTTTATGTTAAAGCAGATGCCAAAGGAATACATAATTCAAAAGTCCAAAGTGGTTGGCCTATTTTCCTGAAGAGATGAGAATGTAGTAGTAGGTCTGATTCCAGATGAGATAAGACTTTGTTATAACAAATGTAATGTTAATGGGCAGGTTCTGGTTTAAGTGAGTTATTCAGTATCACAAAAAGACTTCTGACAGATAGGAAAAAAAAAAGACAATTATCCAAAATGGTATTCAATTTTCTTAAGGGAAAATCTTACAGCTGGCTCTTATCCTGTAGTTTCCTGGCTTGTTCATTATGCAGTCCTCACTGCTAGTGACAATCCTTTGCACTGAATGAAATAATGTTAACAATAGCATATGACTAAAAAGAAAGTCCTATAATACCTTCTGGCTGAAATTTGACTGTAAACTTGATTCTGAAATTTTCTGAAGTTTGTGAGTATTCCTAAATACTAAATTTGACCTAGTATAAATTCTGTTGGACCATAGGTCTAACAGCCCTTTACTTAATGCATTTTCCCCGTATCCAGGGAAAAAAGACATGAGAAAAAGAAACCTAACACTTGACCACATGCTTGACCCTAAATTGGATGATCAAAAGTGTTAAGATAAGTCCTCAGGAGTGGGTTTCCTGTTGTTGTTGTAAGATAGCTTGAGCATGTAGAGACTTGAAAGTGATCATGATTTGGAAGTCTCATCCCTGGCTAGTTCCAACAAAGCCAGCAGTGGGGATAATGATGTTGTATCAGCAGCCCTGGAGAATTCAAGGGCTCAAATGCAAGGTAATTCCCAAGAGGCTTGGGGATAGAGAGTGCTTGGCTGATCTGAGGAGATCATATCTGTGCCACTGAACATTTGGGAGCAGTGAGAAGATGGAGTGTGGTTGACGAAGGCAGTGTCTGTCTGTCAAAAATCCTTGTAGTAAAAATAATTCCATATATATTTTTCCCCATTACTGTCTTACTCTAGCTAGAACTTTGTTTGAAGGCAAAAAAAACAGGCCAAAAACAAAACCAACATCTCCACACCTTGAGACACATATTTTCTAGGAAAATGGGCCACTGCTGCTTCAGCAGAGCTGCTCAGCTCCAGACAGCAGTTGCATTTCACATGGGGGCCCTTACTACAGGTGATGCTCCCATTCCTGCCTAGGGGTGCTCCAAGGCTGCAGAGACAAGCCTGTTTTAGCCTCAGTTTTGTCATTTGAGAGCTGCAGTTTGGGTCATTAGGGGTTGTTCTAGTTTTTGGCCACAGATAATGCTTTTTGGTCATAATCTCTTTCAGAATATTGCTGGGAAGTAAGTACTTCTTGTTATTTCTCTCTTCCTAAATGTAATATTCCCAATTGTGTATTCATTACAAATAAGAGAAACACAGGGAATGGACCTGAACATACAAGAAGATAAATGCACCCTTTCTCATTACTGTTTTGTGTTAGGTGCTGGGTGAATACCTCAGAGACACTCACAAGGGACTTGATTACAAGTGGAATGGGGAAAGGGCAGCAAAGAAAACATAGAGGGAGATAAGAGAGACACTAAAATAATGAAACAAGCAGGTAGATACACTGGGAGCAGAGTATTAAGCCCTGGTAAGAGCACAGAAACAAAAGTTATATCCAGATTTGAAGTGTTTGCCCTCTCTAAAACCTTCAAGCAAGAACAAAATAAGGATTAGGATTGCCTAGTGTCTAATGACTGCTTAAAACTTCTCAGTTTTCATGGCTCATGGCACTCATGTAAATCTGTTTCTGATCTCAAGAGATGAACCCATTATCAATTGATAATAGTAGGAGAGATGTGAGTCATTTTGTTTCACTCTTGCCTGTCACTGCCCCTCTCCTAGAGTTCACTCCCTTCTTCCTGTGATGTATAATTTCCACTTGCTCTCAGCATGCCTCTCCCAGAAGCTGTGTTAAGGATGTCCTTGTCTCCCAGAAGGATTTAAGAGTCAGAAATACCTGTTACCTCCAGTAGAAACTCCCTTAAGCACATGCCAGCTGGCAAGGTAGTTCCTTAAAGTGGTAAAGAGAAGTGAGAAATGCCTAACATGGCTTTTGAAAAGTTGAAAAGGGTATTTAAGGCAATCATGAGTTTTTGAAAGATATGAAAATTCTGATAGGAGCTCAGCTTTTACTTCACTTTCCCTGTAATATCTTCTTGGTATTATACAGCAGTGGTATTCCCTGAGGGAACTACTCTGGAACCTAGACGAAAAACAGTGAAAAATTCAAGAGTTGGTATCCCACTTTAAAATACTCTCTTCTAGAAAAATACTCTCTTCATCTATTCTGAAATCACTTTTTCCTAGGCATGGTGCTGTAATATGTATGCTAACTCTAGTTTAGAAGGAATTAGGATGGAAATAACTTTTGGGGAGCAAAGTCTCCCCAGTACAGCTGTTGATGTGCCTGGTAATAGTTTGGGTGGAAGCAGTCCCAGTGGATCTTTTCTTCTCTGGTTGCTGTGAAGGCAAGTGAAGTGGTGATTCAGTTTGGACTGTAAGGCTGTGGCATGGTCCTCAGCTTGTTTGGTACATTTTACACTAACATGCCCTGTGGTTTGGGGTGCGTGTGTGTTCTTGTTTTGGGGCTGGTGGGATTTTCTTTGTCACACATTTACCTTGTCTTTATGCATCTATTCTTCCTATCCAAGTACCTTGCTTGTTTGATGTGCAAGAACATGGAAATTGTAAAATTTAGCCGTTGTAAAATGGCTAATGTTTAAATACAGACAAATGCAAGAGTTACAGTAGTTCATCCTTATTTTAGTCTGACATAACCTTCACCATTGGCAATAGCTGGAATGTATCAGCTATTGTTAGTCAAAGGTGCATTTTCTTTCTCAGCTGACACCAATGATTTTTGGTCTGTAAGACATAACTGTATCAGCAGTGTTATCTGACAAAGGTACAGATGTAGGAAAACGTGCTTACTGCTTAAAGTGCTGCTGATATTACTGTTTGGCAGATGGCTACTACAGGTGAATGCTTTCCAGTCATTTTAAGCCCAGTGCAGTGAAGCAGAAAAAAAATAAACTGGATGGACTTCATAGCTGTGATTAAGTGCAAAATCCTTGGGGGAAAAAATCTCTACAGCCCAGTTTTACAAACAAATTTGGCTCATGCTAGCAGAAAACAAAAAGCCCGGACTAGTGGAAAAATACATGGTTGCTGATTTTTGTTAAAATGAATTTATAGGAGTGGCTTTGTTGGCTGAGCACGTTCACGTGGATGTGAGGTGTATTATTCCAACCCTTTCTGTAACATAACCACGGTGACTGCGTCACATGGTGCCAGTGCAAACAAAGTCTTGCTAACAGCCCATGAATAGGAGCATTTTCCGAGAATACGGTTTCTCATTGGGACTATCGACTGATTCCTGTGCTACCAAGGGAGAAGGATAGCTATGGACAGCTTTGGAGGAAGAGAAGTGCAGTCATCTGAAGCGTGCAAAATAAATATGAGTGTCTGTTATTTAATCAGCAAATGGTACAAGGGGTGCAGTTAATTCTATGACACTTAATGATTTCTGATTGGTAAGTAGTATCTAAAATAAGAGAGGGTATCTTGTTAAACATTCTACTTCTATGTATATTCCATGTCCTTTTTGTTCTCCTTATGTTTGAATCTGAGAGGCCATCACTTCCTCCACATAGGAAGACTCCCTGCATTTTCCCTTCTCCTCCATTTGCATCCTATTTGCATCAGGTCCAAAATAAGCACTGTTTTCTTGATGGACTCAGCTCAACTTAGCTTTCTGATCTCACAGCCATTTATTTTCTTAGCTATTAAGCTACTCATCCTAACCCTCATTTTGTTTCTCATCGTTTCAGGTTATGAATTCATCTAATGGCAGCTCTTTTTCCTAGAACAAAAGTACTTTCTAAAAATATCACTGTAAAACTTTTTCTTTTCCTCTTGACGTTCTCCAAAAAGTGTTTTTGGACGCATATTAGGAAAAATAGAGTAATATTCTATATACACTTATAGGAAATGATGAAACCACACTTTATTTAGACTTTGAAGAACATCTTGATTTTTTTAACGAAAGTAGAAATACTGTCAAGGTTTGATGGACGTGAATAGACTTTGTGGCGAGAAATTCTGATTGTTTTTGAGCCTTCCCCGCACGGGAGCGGAGTAAGCCTGAGGAGGCCGACAGTCCCCTGGGAACAGGGACAGTGCAAGACTTGGTACGGAGCACTGCCTCTCCTCAGTCAGTGTTAAGTCGGCATCCCGTAAAGTCCACTTTGAACTGAGAAACCCACCCTGGCACCTCACTCAGCGCCCACCAGGGCTGCTCTCCCGCCGTTCCCCCGACGAGCTCCGCATCCCAGCGAGCCCGAGCCCGAGCCCGCCCCTGCCGCCGCCACATCCCACTTCCCCCGGCCCGCCTCTCCGCCGCCCGCCACACCCCCGTCGCGCCGCCAGCTCCCATTGGCTGAGAGCGACGAGTGACATGGCCCCTGGCCAATGGGGCCAGCGCTGGTGAAGCGCTGGCGCCCAATGGGCTCGCGCGCCCACCACCCCTGCCCGTCGCGGCCGGGCGCTGGGGCTGCGCGGTGCCATTCGGAGGGCGGGCGGCGTGGGGAGCGGATGGTGCTGGTAGCGGCTCCCGGGCGCCGGCGGGGGCAGGAGCAAGAGCTGGCTGCGAGCGCCTCCCCCCCTCCCCATCCTTCCCGCTCCGGCTGCGTGTCCCCTCGTCGTGCTCTGCCGCCGACCGCCCTGAGCCCGCAGCGCTGTACGATGTGAGCGGCCGTTGGGCTCGGCAGCGCCCCCGGTGCTCTCGACGCTGGGGCGGGCAGCGATGGCCAGAGCCTGGCGTGGAAGCAGCAGCCGCCGTCGCCGATAGGAAGCGCCGGGGGCAGCTGGGCAGGCGGCGCGGAGACTCCCCAGGGCCGTGCAGCGGTTGTCCCGCCCCGCCCCCTCCCTCCTTCCCTCCCCTCCTCCTCCTCCTCTCCCCGCGGCCGGTGCATGCGGGGCGCTGGGGGCCGAGCTCGGGTCCCCCGCAGCCACCGGAGCGAGTGACCCGCGGGGGTCTTGCGCATCCCCGCTATGTCCTCGTCCAGCTCCTCGCAAACCCCCCCGTCCCACCACCAGCCCCCGCCGCAGAGGATGAGGCGCGGCGCCGCCGGGTCCCCCACCGCCGGCACGGCCGGGGGCCCCGGTAACAGCGCCGGGGGAGGCTCAGCGGGGACCAGCCGGCTGCTCCAGCCTATCCGAGCGACCGTCCCGTACCAGCTCCTGCGGGGCAACCAGCACAGCCCGACCCGCTCCCCATCCGCCTCGGTGGGCAGCAACACGGGCCCGGGGAGCGGCGGGGGTCGCGGCGGAGGCAGCCCCCCACCGCCGCCCAGCGCGACGCCGCCGCTGGCGGCGGGCGGTGGAGGGGAGCAGGGCAGGGTGAAGGGCAGGCAGCGGCGGTCGCCGGAGAGCGGCGGCAGCAGGAGGAGCAGCTCACCTGAGAGACGGAGCCCCAGTTCCCCGGTGTACAGAGGTAAAGCACCGGGAGAAAGCCGGTCTCGCTTCCCTGCCCCGCGGGGGTGCTGGCCGGGCCGCGGCCGCCTAGGCTCCGGGCACCCCGGGCTCTTGCTTTCCGCTGCTGGGCTGCGCCCTGCCTTCCCCCCGGGCCAGCGGGGGTGGGACACCGGGGGACTCCCGGCCCGACGGGAGGAGCCCCGCCGGAGCCTCAGGGAGCGGGTCGGGGGGCGAGGGCGAGCCTTAAATCCCCCGCCCCCGGGGCAGGTGTCGTGCCCGGGTTCGCTTTGCCAGGAAGCGGGGGGAAAAGCGCTTCGTCCCGCCGCCCTGCCCCGCGATGGGGGGAGGCGACGCCTGAAATGTCATCCTCGTCTCGGGCAAGGTGAGAATCCTGCCTAGGAAAAACATCCCCGCGCCGGCCTTGGGAGGAGCGGCGGGGGCGAGCCCGGGGCCGGCGGCGGCTCCGCTCCCCTCCCCTCCCCGGGCGGAGGAGCAGCGGGGGCTCCGATGGAGCTGCTCTTGCCGCTTCTACCCTTGGCCTCGGGCTCTGGCAGCGGAGGTGTGCAACAGGGAAACGAGCCTAAAATTAACCCGCTTCCCTGTCTCCAGCTGTAACTATCTAGTAGGGGTGATAATGAGTTAGATTTATATCTGGGGTGTCACAACCCAGTTCTGAAGTGTGTGTTAAAACCAAGCCTCAAATGCTCTTCCTTTCTGCAGAGCTCGGTTTCCTAAAAGACTTGCATTTTGTAAGATCATAGGTTAAAAGATAGGATGTTTCCAAGCGCAGGCTCCAAAACAAGGAAATTCCCATATTGAGGTGCTTAAAAACAAGTCTGTCCCTCGTGATACTTAGTACTGAATCCTTGGGACTGTAAAAAAAACCTCAACCAGACAAAACCCACTACAAACCAGCCCCCATGTAGCCAAAATAGGCCTGTAAAGTTTAAAATGTAAAATTGATTCCCAGCAAATCCAACTTAACCTGTGTCAGGTTGTCTGTTAAATTACTGAATGTGTTAAAGTGGCAGTGGCCATCTTACCTCCCCCACTCCCTTCTGCCTTCCCCCATCACTTGAGCAGTTGAATGAATTGGACTAAATGCACTTTTTATGTTGTCCTGCTGTAGCTATCAGGTATCACACATCATCTCTTTCTGGAATGCTTTCTGTGGTTCGATCCCACTTGCTTTTTCTGTCCCTTCCATAAGTCTTAACTGTGTGTGATTTCTGTGGCAAATTGTGGTCTGTGTTGGATGCCAGCCTGTGTTGTAGCAGTGGAATCTTACCTTCTTTCCACTTCAGTTTTTATGTGTAGTAAACCCTTGTTGTCTGTAGTATTTGCAACTTGGGCAGATCTGTCATCAGAATTGTCCTACATTGGGGCAGCATTTTACAAATGAGCAAAATGTCACTGCCAGTTACAAATGGACTTAATTTGCCCTATGCATCTGCTTATGCAGATGACCTAATTGATTGTGTTATAATCTGACCAGAGATACTTTGTAATGTATTTTTCAAAAAGAGTCTATTTCTGCAGACGGTTTTGCGTGCTTGAAAATGGAACTGAGCTTCTGTGGTTTTGATTCATTCAAGCTCTCTTTAAAATTTTAAAGATCATATTTTTCTGACTGTATGGAGCACTAAATGTCGATTTCCCTTTTGCCTCCTAAACCTTTGGAAAATGCTAATGGGAAACTAAGAAAAACCAAAGTATCTGTGTGTATGAGTAGCGATAGTGCTGATGATGAGCAGTAAATTATTTAATTATGGGAACCCGGAGGAAAACATTGTAGTGGTGCAGTGTATAAAGCCTACGCTTAAGGTGTATTGGAGAGGGAGGAATATGGGCAGTTACCTGCAAGCCAGAAAAATACTGCAAAGCTGTGAAGTACTTCATTAATGTGTATGATTGTTTTGTTGGAGGGGAAATTTTAATGTTAGAAAGTGGTTTCAGTCTTCATCTGTGGGCTATTTTAGCCTTAATAAATCAGACTATAAATTAGTACTGAATGACTTTTCTGTCATTAGACTTGTTTGAGCTTGCCTCCTGGTGAACTGCGTCACAGAGCTTGATTTGGTTTAATGAGTGCAGTGTATAAAATCATAAACGGTCCGTCGAGAAATGCACCCTGTAATCTGTATGCACTGCAAAGAATTCGTTCCCCCTCCTCCAGGTCAAGCCAGCTGCTGCTGCAGAAGCTGACATCCTTTAGCAAATCCTGAATGAATGAATGAAAACAACGTGATCGCCCTAATAATGACCACAATTGCACACGTCAACAGCTTTATTTTACTGAAATACAGGCACCATTTTCTAGCGGGCGAGAGTAATAAGATACTCTATTTCTTCAGTCTTGCAAATGAAATAAGGTTACCAAACCTCCCCTTCGTCTGCCCCTCCACATCCCCCCCCCCCCCCCAAAGCTAGAGGTGTTTTTACACAATTTGGAATATAGTTCCATTATAGTTCCATGCCATGGGACAGTATTTTGTCTTTGTTTCTCTGCTTGTTCTCAGCATTTTAGTAAATGATGTGTGGACGCTAAAAGCATGTTTGTAGTCTGTGTGGTGATAATAGTACATAGAAATTTGATTACTGAGCTGGAGGACTACTGCAGTAATAATGGAGGACTTGAAAAAAAAATTAAATGTTCCATTTTCAGACATGGACCATTTTGCTGTGGCTTGTTAAACAATGCTACTCCAGCTATTTATAGTTGTTATCAGTATGCAAGTCTTGGGGAAGTGGCTTGATTAAGTTTTTTTGTCAGTTTTTCAAAGCCATTTCCCACTGCTGTAAAATGTGAGCTTAGGCTCGAGGTTTAATCCTGTTGTTTTTCTCACCAGTGCAGGAGATGTGTTTGTCTTTGGCTCTGCAGTCTGACTTGGATGCTTGTTCTGGAAACTGCTTATGATTCTGATGGATAGATGTTATTCTCTTAAGACACCTGTCCCTTCCCCACCTCCTTTAAGCCTTTTTCAGTATAGATGCCTTGTACTGGCTATCCTGCTAAGCCATTTTGTGTGGATATTTTAGTGATTTGCTAGAGGTTCCTTTACGAAGGAGATTTCTGTGCAAACACTCCAGCTTTGAGCCTCTACAGGTCAGAGCACTACCACTGCAGGCACTGACATCACTACTACATGAATGAAAGCAGCAGGGTCTGTTTTTTCTCCCATCATCATGTTTTCTACCTCTTCTTTCTAGTATACTGTAAAGGTTTTTGTTCTGTAGCAACACCCTGTGATTTTAGGACTGAAACTTTCAATAATATGGTATTTTCTTTTAAGCAAATTTGAGGACTTTCAGTTGTTAGGAAGCCATGAATGCCAGTAGCAGTATTTGGTTAGTACTGTTGCTGAATGGGTGAGAAATCATGAATGTTAGATATATATTTTTAAGGTGCTAAAAAAAGAGGGAAAAAGAGAGGAAAACCTGATATCATAGGATAAATCTGCAATGTGCAAGTCTACACCTTTCCTCTTTCTTGAAATGTGTTTATTTCTTACTAGTAGATATTTTTTATAGTGTGTGTTCATGTTTTGGAGAGCTGGCAGCAGAAAAAGTGTCTGGTTGAATGTAACAACACGTGGTTTTGTTAGAGGGAATATATATCTTAGATCTCTGAGTGCATAAAAGTAATGTCAAGAGAATCTGAAGCTGTGTGGTTTATGACAAAGGATATTCTGGTAATAATCCAAAAAAGCCAGACCCTTGGACATGTCAAATAAAACTTGCTATTTGCCTGTGGACACATCTTTTAAAGAAAGAAGCAACTTGTTTTCCTCGTTGCCTTACCTGGATAAAATCAGCAGTGTCTGCTGTTACGTAAAGTAGCTTGTATAAATATGAGAGTGGGTTTCCTGTTTAGTTTCTTTTTTTTGTGATACATTAATATTTTGTATACAAGGAGGGTCTAAATTACTTCTGTGATTCAAAATCAACACTGCTCTCACCAAATGCTTTGATTTAACTCTAGTGGTACTGTAATATTATGCCTCATATTTTTCTAACTTTCACTTGCACATTTTATAGAACAAACTTTTTGCCATTCCATTTCCAAATATTAAAGATAAACGTTCGTTTTAAGGACATATGAAAAATACTATGATCAGTTTGGCTGTTAAAGTGTCTTTTACTTCCCAAAATAACTCCTGAAGATTTGCCAACATGAGCGAGAGAAAGGAATTACAAAGGATGCAAAACAACTGCATAACCCAGTTCAGTGGAAGAAGTATATATATATGGTTTTAGGCTAGTGGAATTAGGAGTGGAGTAAAACAACCAATATTGTTGATCTCTAGACTTGTAAGGGATATCAATATTAAAAAACATCCAAAATTTGTACTTCAAAAGGTAGAACTATTTTATTGTCCTGGATTCAAACCATCCAATATTTCGGCATCATAAGCATTTATACCAGAGATCAAGAAGATCTTGCCTTTATTTCTAGCAAATGTAGGTAAGGAAGTAATTTTTGTGACACTTCCTATTTCCTGATCCCTGAATAATGCAGTATTTCCATAATTGTATGGCCAAAACAGTTTTGCTCCAGCTTTGTCCCTCTCACTTCCCAAAATAGCTTTCATTGGAATATAATATGATGACATAAAAGACCCTGGCTAAATTTGATCCAGTTGTCCTGAACTCAGAGCCTTTTTAGTTACATGTTTTAACATGACTGTAAATGAGAATGGTGTATTAAATGTCTTTAATAAATAATGCTTTATAAAACAAATTAATTGAGCTTCTTTCAGGTGTTAAACTGCAGGAAGAAAAAATAGGAAGGTATTTTCTCTGTTGAACTTGAATAGTGCTGTAGCAAAGCATTAGCTTTGAAGACAGAACCTCCCTGTTTCATGGACAGAAACTGATTTAAAAAGCATATGATTATACCTGTGTTAAATCACTGCTTGAGCTTTAATTCTTATTCTTTGGGCATAAGCAAGTATTTGTATGTTACATATGGCCAAACTGAAGTTACTTGCCAACATTTATGCATAGTAAAACTGGCAA